ACACTGTATATATCATCATCATCATTATCAGCCTATTAATGTCTCCACTGGGAAAATTCTAGAGGAGGCCTATGTCCGAGGAGGACAACCTGATTAAAATAGTGCTGGTGTACCAATTTTCTTTTATTAGTAAGTAAAGCATTGTAAAATTAAATCAAATTGTAGCAATAGGAAATTAGTAATACGGCTAGTTAGTAAGTAGTATAATAACTATATCAGAGAATAAAGGCTATTTTTATTTTTATTTTATTTATTTTAATGTCTCCACTGCTGGGGTACAGGCCTTCCCTATGGATGGAATAGGGAGAATACACATGCCCAACACAACATTAATTACAGACATTATTTATTAGAAAACATGGCTGCGTGAAAGAACTCAGAAACTCACATTTGACAGAGTGGAAAACAGGTGAAGGAAACGAAAAACGCAGTTCCGGTGGCAAACAAGAGACTTGCCTAATTTTTTTTTTGTGTCTGGGAAATGTCTTACGCATCCTTCAACCACTGGGGGAGCGAGAAGAAGGTATATGGGTCTCCTCCCTGTCCTCTTCAGCCAACCCTGGAGCCGCAAACAAGAGACTTGCCCCCTTACCAGACTAAATAGGGACAAACTAAGCAAGATTATAGGAACCCTGACTGCTCATTGTTTCCTAAACAAAAACATATATATAATAGGAGTAACAGACAGCCCCCTATGCAGAGAGTGTATGGAGGCAGAAGGAACCTCAAAGCATATCATCACGGAATGCAGGAGTGTGGCTGACCAACGGGCACGACTTCACCAGTCGCCAGATTCGCTTCCAGAAGCTTGCAGCAGTCTGCCAAAGCTGCTTTCTTTCTGGACTAACTTGGGCTGGCTAGAGTGAATGGGAATGTTTGGAGACACACACAATGGTCCAACAATTAGGACTAAGTGAAAACTGCCCTGAAAAACTAAACTAAATAATTAGAAAACTCATGATATTATTTACTGTGGATTTATTTTACTGACAGTAGGTACCAGGATAACATAAATATGACGGAAAATATGAGGTTTAACAAAAAATTGTTGAGGTAGTTCCAGTAGGAAAATGTTTTGAATGTATGTATTCAATTCACTTGACATGGGCTTGACACAGACATGTCAATTAAATTATTATTATTAACAACCACACTTGTATTGTAGTTATCTTTGTAAAAGAACTTATAATTTCAAGTGACATAATGGTTCAGTATTTTTAATAATTGTAAACATATTGTTTTCCTCTTCTTAACCATTTCATACAGAATATGACATCTTGCTTCCCAGAGAGGTACCTTAATAGGTATAATTATTTATCACAATGTGTTCAGTGCATATTACCTATTCCTATAGCTAACAAAGCTTTGTAATGTTAACATTCCATAATTCTGAAAACTGATTGCATGTGTGACTTGCTTAATATATAGTGCAAAGATCAGTGGCGGATTTACCAGTAGGCTCAGTAGGCTGGAGCCTAGGGCGGCAGATTTTAGGGGGCGGCAAATTTGGCCCAAAATATACCAGAAAAACGAGTGACAAAACTTTTAATATTTTAGTAATCCGTATACAGGGTGTTACAAAAATACAAATAAAGCTTGATGGGCGTTGAAGTACATCATATAAGGAGTCTTCTCTAATTTTCTTAAAATATTTGCATGAAGTTTTAACTTTTTTATAAAAACAGTTATTTTTAATGATTAATAAAAATATCGATAATTTTAAGACACGTCACTAGTTCGAGGATCATTAAAAATAACTGTTTTTATATAAAGTTAAAAATTCAAATGCAAATATTTTAAAAAAAATAGAGAAGACTCCTTATATGATTAACTTCAACGCCCTTCAAGCTTTATTTGTATTTTTGTAAAAGATTACTAAACCCACTGTAAAATATAGGTACTTATGCGATCATGAATTTTTAAAATATTCCAATAGCGTTTTAATATTAATTACAATTTAAATTTAGTATTTTTTTAAACTAACGGGGAAAAGCCCGTACGTAATGTGGACGATAGAACACAAATCATAAAGTTGCAATTTCAGAATAAATATAATTGCGAACTAGCGTATTGAATTTCAAATGTCAGTAGGGGCGGCAAAAATTGAATAGCCTAGATATACCACCTGCGCTCAAAATGTGACACATTCAAGAAGTGCTTGAACTCCACCCAAGCACTTCTAAGCTCACAGTCACGCGCGAACCGTTGAAAGGCAAGATGCCGCAGAGCTCCGTGAAAAAATGCGATAAAAATACTTATAGTAGGTAAAGTGCCGTTTTTTCGACAGGTATCTAATCAATATTTGTTAATTTAACGTATTTGAAGCAAATTTTTATCAAATACTTACAGTAAACTGATTTAATAGAAAATATTTATGATATTCAAATGCATGATCGGTTATATAGCCGTCTCTTTTCCTCGCGGTCCGTACCTGCTATATTGGTAACAGCGCATTCGGAATTGCGCGTAGACTCAAAAATATAGGTCTTTATTCTTGCGCATACAGCAACAATTCGTAAAAATTATCGAGTTTACATTTCCAACTCTCAGAACCCTTTGACACATACGTTTTATTTAAAACCTTATACGGTATGCAATAAAGGTGACTTTCAATGTTTAAATAATGCCTTATATTGTTTTAGACAACGCGTTAATCTTACGAAGCTCCGTGGATCGACTAATGTACCTTTTGGACAGGTTTCGGCCACGATTTTGTTCGTGTTGTTGTATGTAGAGTATTTAATATCTTTGATATATTGCTAATAATATTTGATATAATTATAAATATTTTCATCGAGTTCATATCAACATATTAGGTATATATATGTCTACAATTCAGAATTAGTTTGGTTTCAAAAATAATTTGTTATTATAAAATTACAAACTAAACAACACAATCTTAAAACATTCGTTTTCAAACTCTTTATTATGTGTTATTATTATATAAGGAGTATTTAATATAATGACTGTCCTGGCATAAGGTTATCATTATAGCCACCTCAACGTTTCCGATAACTGATTAGAAACATGCGAGCTGAACTTAAATATTAAAACTCAAACCAGTTTATTGTCTTTAGCTAGCATAAATATTAGAAGGAGAAATTTAAATCTAAAGAAAAGTTTTACTTGAAAAAAAAAACAGCGGACGGGACTTGAACCCGCACCCTTCGCAATCCGGGCGAATGCACTGACAAATTATGCTACCACGGCCTAATGGCCGCGTCGAAATTTTCCTAGCCTTAAGCTGCAAGGCAGCGCCATCTCTTCGCATTGTAGGTAACCTACAATTATTAAATAATTTCAACATCTAGCTGTTAAATGCTTAAAAAAATAAAAACAAGCGAAATTTATTTGTTACTATAAAATAAAATATTGTCTTCAAGATTTACATTAAAATAAAATTATATTATTATTAATAATAAACTACAGAAATTATATACTGTGGACTTCTTTGCACACTTGGCGCACTGTACTGATAGTACCAGGCTAACATAAAGATATAAGAAGTCTGCATGAAAACGTGAGGTTCAGTACATTGACATCCACTGCAGTATGGCGGCACGACAAGCAAACTATTGTTTGTGTAAAGATGACCTTTTCATGATATCAATTAATATGTTCTGCGCTATTAATTAATGCAGCGAACACCTATAATTACGTTGATTGCACTCATTGATACAATTTATCAACTGTCTCACTGCTCACAGCAACACTTAAATTACCTTTAGTTTAGTGGTTAATTTATATGTGCATTCGGTGTAGTAAAGATGCCAATCTAGCAGTCTTAATTGGTAAAAAGATTGAAATTTATGAACATTTGCATACAAAACGTTGATTAAAATGCATAAAAAAATACTTGGTCCTTCGCGCTGGATGTTTTCTCTCTCTCTCTTGACCCTAGGGTAAATAGGCCTATATAGTGTGTGGTGATCAATGTACCCCTGTATTTTCGTTTCGGTCTTTTTATCTATGACTAAGAATGTAGTGATTAAAAATAATATGTGCATTGTTAGATGATATATTATTGAGGTTACAATATTATTTTCTGAGAAAGAAGTATAGAAGCGTCAAATGTGAGTGTTGACGATCAAAATTGTGATTGTGGTGGATATTTAAGTATATTTTCATATCGGTTCACAAATGTACTATATGTCAAATGAAACCCATTTCTCATTTAGATTAGATATATTGAGAGATATATCGATGCTTTGACATGATAAATAGTTTTACACGCCCATCGGCCTTGAAAACAAAACTCATACAGAAACAAAAAGTGCAAATATATGTCCATGATGATAATATTTCGATGCTATCGTAGTCGGTATTTTATAATTATGATATAATAATATTATGTCAATTTTATCAGCGCAAATTATGTATGTGGTACAATGTATGGTTAAAATGGCACTCAAATTTAGATAGGTTAAGGTATATCCGTTTTGTACTTTTTTCGCTATGGAAAGCGACTTGGTTACATGAATATTAAAATAGTAGTTTCAGCTTTGCTATATTTTTTGTAAAGTCAATAGGCGCTTACAACCGCGTCAACATGTAGGCTAATTCGGCGACGGTTCTTGATAGATGAAAGTGATGATCACCGAGTTATTTACTGTTCCACTCTCTCTGAATTGAAGAGCAACTCTCTTGTCGGTGCAATCTATGGATCTCCCGCCATTTCTCTCTGTCATTCTCTTTGACTCTCCAGCTTTCTCCTCAATTTGTTTAGTGTAGGCTATCTTCGGTCTTTGCCCTCCTCTCTTTCCTTCTACTTTTCCATCAGTGATGTTTTAATAAATTCGCCGTGTCGCACATATGGCTGATCATTCTTCCTCTTCTTCTTCTTCTGTTTTCCAGTGTGTGGAGTTCTCCTCTCGTTCACAACTTCCAATAACCTTTCACTCGAGGAGCACATGTGCCACCGTTTCCTCTACCTCCAAGCATTCTCTGCATAGGGGACTGTCGTCAGTCAGACGTTAACACAGTAATGTGTGTTGTTTCAGAAACTCCAAATGTGCGGCACTGAGGAGGAGATGCGTGATGTGGCTGCCAGGATCTGCAGGAACTACTTGCACGGTGCCTGGAAGAGCGTGGACCCTAAGCAACTGGACTTTAAACGTATCAGGTGAGTTTCATGGCATATGTTTAAATACCCCCAGGCAGTTTCCATTGACGGTTCTGTGTAAGACTTTCAGATTGCATCATCAGGAGTTCCTCAGTGTTCACACCTAGGCCCCTTATTGTTTTCCCGCTATATTAACGATATCCACACCTGTCTGAACAATAGTTAGCTATATTTTATGCAGATGATGCAAAAAAATATAAAGTTATTAGGAATGAAAACGATTGCGTTGCACAACTACAACAAGATATTAAAAATTTATTTCATGTTTTCACAATCAACTATTTTTGAATCTGATATAAATGCTTTATATCTATAATGCAGTTTTACTAGAAAACGTAAGCCGATCACTTTCACATATAAACTAAACAATGACACCTTGACCAGGGTTAGTATAGTTCGAAATCTAGTTGTACTATTAGATATCATCATCATCATCATCATCATCATCAGCCGAAAGACGTCCACTGTTGGACATAGGCCTCCCCCATGGATTTCCACAACGATCGGTCCCATGCTGCCCGCATCCAGCGGCTTCCCGCGACCTTTACCAGATCGTCGGTCCACCTTGTGGGGGGCCTGCCAACACTGCGTTTCCCGGTACGCGGTCGCCACTCGAGGACCTTTCCGCCCCAGCGGCCATCGGTCCTGCGAGCAATGTGCCCTGCCCATTGCCACTTAAGGTTTGCAATTCTGTGGGCTATGTCGGTGACTTTAGTTCTCTTGCGTATCTCCTCATTTCTGATTCGATCACGCAGAGAAACTCCGAGCATAGCCCTCTCCATTGCCCTTTGGGTGACTTTGAGCCTTCTTACAAGACCCATTGTAAGCGGCCACGTCTCGGTTCCGTATGTCATCACTGGCAACACGCACGAATTGAAGACTTTCGTCTTGAGGCACTGCGGTAGATGTTCCGAGAAGATGCTCCGTAGCTTCCCGAACGCTGCCCAGCCGAGTTGGATTCGTCGATTAACCTCTTTCTGGAAGTTGGACTTACCCAGTTGGACTATTTGTCCCAGGTATACGTACTGGTCAACAGCTTCCAGTGTAGAGCTCCCAACAGTCACTGGAGTGGGTACGACATTGGAATTCGACATGATTTTCGTCTTGTCCATGTTCATTTTGAGACCCACTTGTTGGGACACCCTACTGAGGTCGCCGAGCATTGTGCCAAGGTCATCCATGGTCTCAGCCATGACTACGATATCATCTGCAAATCGAAGGTGCGTCATGTACTCGCCGTTTATGTTGATGCCAAGTCCGCTCCAGTCCAAAAGTTGGCGTTTTCATACAACGACTGCAACACTTCGATGTATCGATAGTCTATTTGGCACCTTTGGAGTGACCGAAGCACGGCCCATGTCTCGATCGAATCGAAGGCTTTCTCGTAGTCCACAAACGCCAAGCATAATGGCAGGTTATACTCTTCGGTCTTCTGTATAACCTACCGCAGCGTATGGATGTGGTCTACGGTACTAAACCCTTTTCGGAATCCGGCTTGTTCGGGAGGCTGGAAGTCGTCAAACCTGCGCGCGAGACGATTCGTGAGGACTCTCGAAAACAGCTTGTATACATGACTCAGGAGCGTGATGGGTCTGTAATTCTTCAATTGGGCCCTGTCTCCCTTCTTGAAGAAAAGCGCCACCACTCCCCTATGCCATGCGCTAGGCGTTCTGCCCTCGAGTATGACAGAGTTAAATAGCTTCTGAAGAGATTTCAAGACTGGTCGTCCACCTGCTTTCAGAAGCTCGGCTGTAACTCCGTCATCACCCGGCGCCTTATTGTTTTTGAGCTGTTTCAGAGCTACACTAATCTCGTACAGGCTGACGTCCGGGATATCTTCGGTGTAGTGTCGGGTTAATTTGGCTCTTGGGTCGGTCGCCTTTGTGACAGGTACTCGTGATGTCGCGTATAGCTGTCCGTAGAAGCTTTCGATCTCAGCCATAAGCTCAGGTTGCGACGAAATGATTCTGCCGTCCTCTGTCTTCAGCTTCGTCAGCAAACTCTGTCCAAGAGACAGATTTCTTGCGAACACTTTCGAGCCTTTGTTCCGCTCGATGGCCTCTTTAATACGATCAGTATTAAAGCGGCGTATGTCGCGAGTCAGAGACTTCGAAATCTGCCTATTGAGCTGCCGACGTGCATCTTCAGAGGACTGCAGACCCATCTCACGCCTTTTCTCCATGAGCTTGAGAGTCGACTCCGAGATCTTGCTGCGTTTTTTGGTACGGATGGGCTTGCAGAACTTCGAGCCCACCGTAAGGACAGCTTCAACAAACCTGTCATTATAATTGTCCACGTCTACGCAGCTCTCTAGGCAATCGAAGCGATTTTGCAGTTCGAGTTGAAAGCGCTCGGGGTTTTGGATCCGGATGGCTTCAGGACGGAGCGTGGACTTCATCAGTCGATTCCTTTCGGCTTTGACATTTAGATTCAATGTGCCTCTTACCATTCGGTGATCGCTTCCCGTATTGAACGAATTGATCACTGAGACATCATTGAATATCCGAGTCTTAGTCGACATGATGAAGTCAATCTCATTTTTTGTCACGCCATCCGGACTTTTCCAGGTCCATTTTCGATGCAGCCGTTTTCTGAAGAAGGAGTTCATCATAAAGAGTCCCTCCTTCTCCATGTAATCGGCTAGCATTTGACCTCGGAAGTTCCGGATTCCAACTCCAAATTGCCCCACTTTCAACTCATCATCGCCACGTTTGCCCAGCCTTGCGTTGAAGTCCCCCATGACAACGGTGTAATGGGTCCTGGAAGCATGCATTGCCCGAGAAATATCCTCATACATGACTTCCACTTCCTCGTCGGGGTGCGTCGAGGTCGGAGCGTATACCTGTATGACCTTCAACGAATACCGTTTGGTGATTCTGAGTATAAGGTACGCCACCCTATTCGACACACTACCGATCTGTACAACATTGTTCACGAGAGACTTGTGGACAACAAACCCGACACCACCCTGGGACAGATCTTCGCCCTCCCGGAAATAGAGCAGGTTGCCGGATTTAAGGACCATCGTGTCCTCGCCCTCTCTTCGGACTTCTGATAGTCCTACAATACTCCAGCGAATCCTGCTCAATTCTTCCTCCAGTTCCAGCAGCTTCTCCTCGGTCCGCAGTGTGCGTGCGTTGTACGTTGCCAGGGCCAAGGTCGTTTGACGGGGGATTTTTGCCGCCCGGGGATTCTTCGCACCCCTGGTCCCGGCGCCGAGTCGGCGTCCGTCAGCGCCGCCACGGACTCCAGCACCGCCGGGCACTTGGGGCCTCTTATCATGTACTATCATTTTAGGGGGGGTTTTGGGCCGTCTCCCACCACGCTGGCCCAGTGCGGGTTGGTGGGGAGCGCCAGAGCCTCGTCCGTTGGTCGGCAGGGTACACCGCGGGCAGGTGAGGTTGGCTTGGGTGCCGTTGGGTGTTAGGCGGCACCCCTCATACCCTCATATTAGATATCAAACTTGTCTTTATACAACATTTTGATCATATTATACAGACATCTTATAAGCAACTCGGATTTCTGCTTAGAGTCTGTAAACCATTTAAAATCTAAGCTACATACAAATCTCTTTTTTTCTTCCTGGTGCGTTCAATCCTGTTTTTTGTGCTGTAGTCTGGTACTCCTATTACTCATTTCACACAAATAGACTAGAAGATATACAGTTTTTTTTAAAGATTTGCAATACAGTACTGTGTCCCTTTATTCATCTTACAACGATTTGAGTCTGGAGGTCGTAACATAGGTTTTGTAACCTGGTACAATCCCCAGCTCTCTCAAAGAACTGCTTTGTTTTTTCTGTTTTTGTCATTCAATACCTTTTTAATTAATTACAATGTTACTTTGTGAGAGAAAATAAATCATTCATTCATTCCCTTAAAAAAACACGTATTATTGACCCTATCTTCCCGACCGATACAATTTGATTTTGTATTCCTATATTAGTTGATACACAGTGTAATTGATTCCTCTGACCTACTTAAAGAAATAAAGCTTAAGATTCCATTGAAAAATGTTCGCAGGCCTAATGATCTGTTCGCTGTTCCAAGATTAAAGTACTAATTACTCTTTAAATACCTTCTTACGACGTTGTTGGACTGCATATAAACAAGTTGCTCATATAGGTAGTTATCTTTTGTCCAAACCTTAGCCAGTTTAATTCTCACTCCTTCTTATTATTGTGCACGATAACTATAAATGTGATATTTCTCAAAAGAAACTGGGGTTTAAAAAATTTGTATCACGTATATGTATTTTTGTGAGGGAATTTTTTAGAAAATAATTATTTGTTCCAAAAATCAATAATCGTTTTAATAATTATTGAGACCGTTGATTGACTGTTGATCGTGTCTTTTTACAGATTAAAAGTTTATGAAGTGGTATTATTTTTATGTAAAAAATGGAATTGAAAAACCCAAATTTCTTCCCCCCATTGATCCCCCCATCGCTTTAAAAACCCCCCAAATTCGGGGGGAATCCCCCCATTCTGGCATCGGTGAACTGCGCAAGCGTATGCATTAGTGTAAAAATACCATCAGTTGATATCGTTCTCTCTCTTTCTATCAACCCATGTCCTTTTTCGTGGAAAAATATGATACAGACTGAATAAATTAGCCGTTAGTGCAAGAATGTCTCACAAAAAATAGAAAATTTCGAGGTATTTAATTTTGTTTTAAAGATATATGTGATAGCAAAAAATTAGAAAGCAAATAATTAATAATAATAAATGCTAATTTTAATTATTGCCAAATTTAATTTTATAAACGAATTTCCATAATAATAATAATTACAAAATTACATTAATTACTACTACTGTAAATAATATCAATTGAGTAAGTTATAAAATTAATGAAATCAGATGACATTTATGCATGATTTGAGAAATAAAGTGGTTTAATACAAATTAGGTTCTTCATATTAGATTATTTGCTAAAGTTAAATTGGTTATTTGTTAAATTCTCTTTTGTAATTTTTATCTATAATATTGAGATACACTGACA